CGTGAGCAGCACCAGCGCGGCTGGAGAGCTGGAGAGGGGCACAGACGCGGGCCAGCAGCCCTGGCTGCCTCGCGGAAGAAGGTCTGAACAGGCCAGTGACCTCAGGCACCGGCTTCCCCGGAAGCTACGTGTAGGGCGGATTGCGCAGGAGCGAGAATGGAAGCCGGAAGCCCTGCCGGGACATCTAGACTAGCCCGGGAGGCCAAATCCCCGATGGCTGCTGTCCGCGCACAAATCTAGGTTTACACGAAAACCGAGTCTGGAAGAAAACGCGCCAAAGTGGTGAGGGAGCAGGGGATTCATTGTCTCGGAGTCGTTCCAGTGAGTAGTTTGCAGCGATGATGCATATCGGTTAGTTTTGCTCCGGCGCCCCAGCCAGCCCCCTACAGGCCACCGGGCGGAAGCCGTCGCCCGGGCGGGGGGCGCCCGAGATGCCGCCGGGGCCGGACCTTCCCGCCGCCCCGCCGGAAGTGCTCTGCTGACCCGCCGCGCCGCGGGAAAATGGCGCAGGAGGCTGGAGACATGGAAGATGGGCAGCTCTCCGACTCGGATTCCGACATGACGGTCGCACCCAGCGACAGGCCGCTGCAGGTGCCGGTGAGCATGGAGGGCGGGCGGCTGGTTCTGGGCCCGGCGCGCGGAGCCTGGGCCGCAGGGAGCGGTGATGGCGGGGCGGGGGCAGCGCGCCGTGCGAACCCTGGGTCGGCATCTCGCTGCGAGGAGGGACCGCGAGGGTGGCGGCCTCCTAGAGGCAGGCGTGCGGCGGTCTTTTCTCCGCCTTCCATGCGCCCCTTTTCCTAGTTCCCCACTGCAGCCCTGCTAGGTTGCCCCAGAGGACAGATTTTGCGGAAAATGTAGCACCTGGGCAAATCGACCCGAAGCAACCTATGGAGCTCATTTTCACAGTGAGCACAGAAGGAGACTGAGGACCCATAATGAAGTTGATCACCTGTTCAGTGGCCTGGTCTTCCATATTTCCATCAGACCTAGCTTTGTCATGCGGTAATGTGGCACTAGGTTTTGTATTGTCCCAGTTTTCTAAATGGTAGTTTGTCTTGACCCCCGTACTAAGTAGCAACCTCTTTGAGGGCTGTGGTGCCAAGCTGCCCGCTTGGAATCCTGACACCGCCACTATTTGTCTTGTGGCAGGTTATTTAGCCTAGTGCCCCCACCTGTAGTCTAAGAATGATAATAGTACGCCACTGATAGGGTAGTTAAGAATTCAATAGAGCATACAGCCTGAGAAATGTTAGATGCCAATATTACTTGAAGATAGGAAGAATATCTTATTAACTGAAATCACCCCCCATCCTCCATTTCTAGCACATAATAGCTCAAAAATACTTGCTTTAGTGTTTAGTACAAAAAGCAAAGGTGATTATTTAGCATATAAATGTCTTAGGAAATTGATACCAAGGTATTTTGTTTTTCGGTTTCTTTCAGGTTGTTTACATAGATCAACCTATGAATTGGTAAACTTAATGTCATGGACTCTGCAGTTTTAAAAGTAGTATGTTGGGTTTACTGTCTAATCTGAAAGGAGTATAGTCACAAAACCGTGCAAAGGAAGTTTGTGTGTCCTAATGCATGGACGACATCCTTGGAAAGAAAGAAAACATTGTTTTAACTGCTAGTAACAGTGTATTGTCATTTTCAAACATTCTGACAATAACTGAAAAGATTGAAAGTCTTCTAAAGGTGAGAATTAGGAGCTTTGGTAATTTTTTAGAAGGAAGCCTTAGACCTACATTCTGTTATAGAAATAAGAATTGTGTTTTTAAAATTGTAAATTCCATGTGAATCTTTAGAAAAGTAGGGGCTGGATTGATTTCAGAGATTTTGAATATCAGTTATGCTTCAAAAAGATCCAGTTGAATCCCTAAATAATTTTTTTAAATAGCACATGATAGGTGGAGTTAATATGTTTTGTGAATTTATTTCCTTTCGCTTGCAGAAAGCAATAGGTGGGGACACTGCATTGAGGCCCTTCCAGGATACTACAGCAGCCTGTGCACCAGTATCATATTATCGGACTGTTAAAGGTGTGGATTCAAGTGAAGAGAGTTTTTCCGATTCAGATGATGATAGCTCTCTTTGGAAACGAAAGCGACAGAAATGTTTTAACCCCCCTCCCAAACCAGAGGCTTTTCAGTTTGGCCAGAGCAGCCAGAAACTGCCTGTTGCTGGAGGGAAGAAGGTTAACAACATATGGGGTGCTGTGCTACAGGAGCAGAATCAAGATGCAGTGGCCACTGAACTTGGTATCTTGGAAATGGAAGGCACTATTGACAAAAGCAGACAATCCGAGACCTACAATTATTTGCTTGCTAAAAAACTTAAGAGGGACTCTGAAGAACATACAAAAGAATTAGACAAAGAGCTAGATGACTATATGCGTGGTAGTAAGAAAATAGGCTCAAAAGAAGAGGAAAACGGGCAAGGTCATCTCAAACGGAAAAGGCCTGTCAAAGACAGAGTAGGAGACAGACTAGAAATGAACTATAAAGGCCGGTATGAGATCACAGAGGATGATTCTCAAGAGAAAGTGGCTGATGAGATTTCTTTCAGGTGAGCATTTAAATTTTTCCTACAAATGAACACTTGACCAGCTAGCTTTCATTAATAGGAAGTAAAATAGATTTCAAATACACTGATGATGATGTTCCTTTTTGAGTTTTTTTTTAATTTAAGGAACAAACTTTTGCAGACTTTTATGAACTTTTAAGCAACTCCATTTAGTGCTATAGAGCTCTTTAGATGAAAACTTATCTTTGTAAATCATATGGGTTTCTTTTAGTGTTTTCAAGCATTCATGGCTTTTTTGTTACTTTGAGGCATATTGTACATGTGATAAAATTCACTCTTTTTTTTTTTTTTTTAAATTTATCAGTTCTACAACTGTCATCATAAACCAGTTTTAAAACATTTTATTCACCCCCAATAAGATCCCTTATACCCATATGCTCATTTAAAGTTAACCCCTAGGCCACGGTGAGGAGAGCCATGAGTCAGGCAGCCAAGGTTTTACAGCTCTTTAAAACACTGCACAAGACAAGACACCAGGTTATTAAAAATGATGCCAGAGCATTAGAAGGAGCCAGAATAAAGATAAATGAAGAATTTAAAAGTAATAAAAGTGAAGCTTTTTCTGAGAAAATAGAAGAGCTAATAAAAATAGGTTCCAATGTTGAATTGTCACTCAGAACGTCGGTTAGACAAGGTATTCACACAGACCGCAATATGCTGAAATTGGTCTCCAGGAAAGACCTTTTAGAAAATGTGCCATATTGTGATGCACCAACTCAGGAGCAGTGAATTTTCTGGAATAAAATCAAGTCTTTGTCATTTTTAATCTTAAAATATGTAACTGACAAAAGTCCCGGAAATGCAGATATTTTCTCTGAACTGGCAAAATAAAGGGAGGAAGGAAAGAAAGAAGGAAGGACAGAGGGAGGGGGGAGAGAGAGGGAGGAAAGGAAGGAAGAGCAAAGAAAAAATTAACCCTTATTCACATCCCAAGATAACTGCTAATCTACTTTCTGTAGGCATAAACTTGTATTTCTGGACATTTCATGTTGAATGGAATTATACAAAGTGTGGTCTCTGTGCCTGGCTTCTTTTACTTAGTGTAATGTTTTTGAGATTCATCCATGTCGTAGCAGGAATCAACACTTTATTATACACACACATATCCATACTGAATGGCTGTCTCACTTTTTGGCTATTCTGAATAATGCTGTTATGAACTTGCATATGCAGATCTTTGGACATGTATTTTCATTTCTCGGGTAAATACTGAGGAGTAGAATTGGTAAATTTACATTTCATGTATTTTTAACAAGTTCGAATTTTGTTTTGTCAGTAACTCTAAATCAGTAGTGAACATTGTCACAAATTTGAAAACAAATATGGTTCAAGAGTAATATAGCTAATAGGAAAACAAGTGTTTACTTTCCAGGCAAGCCTGTCAGCCTAGTACTGGAGTTTTAAAATACTGAAAAAGTTTGGAATTTGAGCACTGGAAAGGATCTTACAGATTTTGTAAACCAAAGCCTCACTTTACAAATATGGAAAACTGAGGCCCAATAGTTGCCCAAAGCCACAAATTTAGTAAGTGTCAGACCTGGAACTAAATTCTGGTCCCTTTGTTCTTGCGTTGCCTCCTATTGAGAAGCCAGGTCTGGTTAGGGAACCAGTAAGACTTCTGCAATATTCTCTTCCATCTGTGGGCAGTGTGGGCTCTGACATTAGAAGTGTTACTGAGGTTCCCTATGTTTTTACCCTTCAGTGGTATAATGAAAATAATAGTACCTACCTTTAAAAGCTTGTTGAGAGAATTAACTGAGATAATGCATAGAAAGTTCTTAGGATTATGCTTATCTTGTAGTAACCATCGGTAAGCATTAGCATTCTGAGGTACACGGAGCGAGTGAGGGGAAAATCCCATCCATCTTAAAGGAGAGCTAACCTTTAGTCATAATGATTGAAAGCATAGTATATGTTTGTTACTTGTGGCAGGAGTGGACTGGTTTTATCTTTTGCTTTTCGGCTTGCATTCCATTTGGTATATGTACATATTTATTTTGAAATCCACCGTAATTCAATAAAGCAAAGTGAAGAGACTTTGGTTATGAGACTGTGATGGAACCTTGAGGTTACTGTCTCCTTGGGTGACCCAAGATACAAATGTTACCATGTCACTGATTTCAGGGTTAAGTATTGAAGATTTCGAAAAGTAAATGTTATTAGAATAGGATTTATATCTAGTTTGGGACTAAACTGGAGACTAAGGTGGTTTTCTTCAACTTTATACAACAAATAAATAAGTTACTATTACTTTATTTGTGCCTTATCAGGTTGCAGGAACCAAAGAAAGATCTGATAGCCCGAGTAGTGAGTATAATTGGGAACAAAAAGGCAATTGAACTTCTGATGGAAACTGCTGAAGTTGAACAGAATGGTGGCCTTTTTATAATGGTAAGACTAACAGTTTCATTGTTCCTATTTTGAATTGTGTTTCATGTGATTTTTTTTTTTTTAAAGTAAACTTGTCTCTGTTGAGTCATAAATTTATCATAAATTATTAGTATGTTTCAGTTTTTTAAGCACTTCATTAACAATGAAGACTGAATAAAAAAATAAATTAAGTATCCTGAGTTTTAATACTTTACTTACAAACAAGAAATATAAATTGTAGCCAGTTAGTGTACAGTCAACAGCCATCTCATAGGATTCGTTAAGGGTAGGGGCTGAAATTTTTGAAATTTTAAGAAAAAAATCGGGGGGGTTGGAACCTGGAAGCTCAGATTTTGAGAATATGGATTTTGGAGTTTGGGGTGCCTTGTTTTGAGTTCTGGATCTGCGACTCATTATGTGTGAGGTTCGGCTAAATCGTTTGACTTCTTAGTGCCTCAGTCTCCCCAGCTATAAAATGGGAATTCTACTTTGTAAGGATTAGATGAGATTATGCGTGTAAAGTGCTTATCACAGTGCCCACTACTTAGCAGTGGTGAACAGAAATGTTACTTTTGGCTCATTTAATTCATACTTTCTTGAAAATCAGTTCTTGGGGACAAAAAAATCTTGTTATGCAAAAAGCATAAAAGATATGTAGTATATCTGTGAGTATTAAAATTATATGGGTAGTAGGGATGAATAGGGAAAAAAAAAGTCTGAAAGGTTCCTGGGGTGGGTGAAATAATGGAAAAAAAGATTAAAAAACACTTTACTGTTTCAAAATGGCAGAAAGAACGGTGGCAGTTTACCTCCATGGAATGGTTTGGCAGATCTCATTGAATGCAGCTTTCACCACAGGGTGAGGATGTAGTTTGAAATGGCTTCAATATTTGCTCTTCACGAGAACAGTAACATCACAAGAGAGTAAATCAGTATTATTCGTGGAAACCAATTAGAATTGATAGCATTGGCTGAAGAAACAGTCTATGAACATAGATTATAGAAGTCAAAACCAAAGCAAATTATAATAGTCGTGAATGTACCAGCATCCCTGTTTGTGTCACTGTTAAGATACTTTGATTTTCATTTAGTTCAGCACACAGTTACAGATTCATCAATATTTTAATGCTATACTAATACAGTTAAACTGTATATTCCAGCGAGCTAATGCAAATCTACTGAATGTTGGTCAGGTGCAAGTCCAAACTTACTTTCTTTTGATTCATTCTTTCCTTGTACAATTATTTATTGCTGTGTGCCAGGCACCATTTTAGACACAAGAAGCTTATGTTGCTGTGGGGGTGGGAAGGAGACCGTCTATCAAGAATAAATACATTATCTTCAAGTATTTTAGAAAGTGATAAATGCTTTGGGAAAAGAAATAGATCAAATGTAGGTATAGAGAGGAGAGATGGACATTGCAATTAAACTGGAATGGTCAGGGTAGACCTTGGGCACTTCTCTGTTTAAAAGATGCTTTGGCCATTCATGGGAAGAGTCTAACAGTATATTTTTCCTGTTCCTTTTGTAGAATGGTAGTAGAAGAAGAACACCAGGTGGAGTTTTCCTGAATCTCCTGAAAAACACTCCTAGTATCAGTGAGGAACAAATTAAGGTAAAAATGACTTCTAAGATTCATAATAATTTGACTTCCACCTAGCCTCTAGCTTCATTTTGTACTCATCTCCATCACTTGCTCTGCCTTAAATTGACCAATTTTGTCGTCTCATTTCAAGTAAAACTTGTGCTTTTTGTAAAGCTCTGCCTCTTTTTCTTTCCTTTCAGAGCCAAGATTCATTAATTGTTTCATTCATTCCTTTACCTCCTATTTCTCATAAACTGGAAGCTAGGCACTTCAGTATTAACCATTTTTTATTACTAGAATGTCTTATATGTGAATCCCACATTGTAGGTTTTTCACAGCTCAGAATTTGATATCTTTTGAATTGTTAGTTAAGAAACATGATTTGCACTTAGCAGAGATGAAGGTTGAGAATTAGCCTTTTACATAGGAAAGCTGCGTACACATGCAACACAGCTGCTATGCTTGAGAAGCGTTGTTGTATTCTGTTTATTATAACAGTGGGTGATAAAGGTGATAGGAATACGTTTTAGCCATTATGCTAAATTATGCTAATGACGACAGAAATAGAAGCCATTTTTCTTGAGCTGATGTTCCATGTGAGCTTATTTTGCATCTGCTCAATGTCATTTCTTTTATCTTAAGTTTTCTAGTTCACTTCCATTCACTTTTTAAAAATTTGTTATTGAAATTGCTACAAGAAATGTTAACTTGTTGCACATTTGAAATCTCTAGCCAGTAACTGCTTTTTTTTTCTCATTGGAACAATTATTTTGATGACATAGATTTGTAACAATGTAAATGTCCTTAGGAACACAGTTATTGATTGATGAAACAGTTTATACCTGTGTGTTCTCCCACCTCCTGCAATATAATCCCTGACAAAAAGTGTATAGTGAGAAGGAACTATCTTCTTGGATTTTGTTTGATAGCAAAATGTCACTCTTTTCAGAGAAATAGCATGATGTGATGAAAAGAATTCTCTAAGATTCACAATCTGGGTTTTAATTTCAAATTTGCCATTTAGTGGTTGTATGACCATGAGCAGATCGCTAACTCTCTTTTAGCTTTAATTGTCTCATCTATAAAGTGGAGACTTTAATACATGCCCTGCCTATTTAATAGCGTTATAAAAGGATCGCATAAAATATCTACAAAAACTTTTTGTAAGTAACTACACTTTAGACAAACCAGTTTGCAGAAGCAAGAGAGAAGAAAATAACATTTATTCACCATGAGCTTGGCACCGGGCCAAATATTTATATGATTTAGACGTCACCGCAATTTATCAAAGTGGATTTTATGATATTATGCAAATGAAGCGTAATAAAAAATGATATGCCTGGGCTTACACAGAACACTGACTTCAGACCCACGTTTTCACTGAATCACGTGTCTTTGAAACTCAATTCTTTTCCAAATCATTGTGGAGAAAGGGATTTTAATGTTAGGTTTTTATGTTAAATTACCAGAAATGTTGCATTATAATAAACAATAGAAACATTTGGAATATCTAATAATAAGAGAATGTTGATTTACAGGGACATTCTTAAAAGGACTGTCCTCTAGCCTCTTATTTTTGTGAACCAGTTTTAAGGAAATGAGAAAATGCAGTAATTCTGAATTTTTAAAAAAGGCAAAATAAAATTTATAAAGAAAAAGAAGCATGGGGCAATAAGTTGGTATGAAAAACACCAAAATGTTACCAGTGATTTGGTCTGTTGTGAAGGATTACAAATGTTTTGGCTTTTAAGATTTTTCTGTGTTTTTCTAAATTTTCTGTATGTGCATGGGATTGAGTACTTTTCTTATTAGAGGAAAAAACCTGAAGGCAATAGAATTTTAGTGTAGGTAATTTCATATGCCATCCAAATGCTGATATAATTCTTTTATCTCTGTATTGCTAATGATCACAGTCTGCAGAGATTTTTGTTTTAGAAAATACAAAGTTTCTGAAAAGAATAGTTAAAAGTTCATTTGCTGTATTTTTTAAAAAGCTCAGCTATAACAGTCTATCAACAGTATATAGTTCAAGTTCTTAACTCATAGAGTTAATTATGTAGAGATACAGATGGGAGGGAAAAAATTGCTCTCAGATTATCTGTTGTCTACATTTGTTGTAACAGCCTTAATATGTTAAAACATTTTGGGGGGGCCATCCCACAATTCTATCAAAATTCATAACCATGGGAATGACGTCTCTTTTTAATAAGAATTGCCAATTCTGGAGGGAAAAGGGAACCTCATAACTTTACTAGTGTTGCCAAGCATTGTACTACTCAGAATTGTTTTTACAAGACGCTTGAATGTGCTTCCACATAAAATGAAAATACTTCTTATAGCTTCTTTCTGTCTGTCCACTTGAAGGTCAATAGATGCTTGGAAAAAATGTAAATTATCACACTTGTGACGGCAACATGATAGGATTTAAGTATATGGATTTGGAAAAATCATATATGAGTTTAGATTTTATACTTTCACATGTTAGCTCTTCACGAGGCACATGTGACCTTGTGCCTCACTCTCCTTGTCTGAAAACAGGATAATACCCACCTCAGAGGTTCATGTGAGAATGAGAAGAGTTAACGTGTGTAAAGTTCTTAGCATAATGCCTGGCACGTAAAAGTGCTCATTTAGTAAATGGTAAACCTTTTTGTCCTTCCAGAACTTTTCCGTCACATATATATCCTCCTCTTTCACCCCCAGTCCCTCCTCATTTCTTTAGCAAATACTTTTATTCCTCTTCTCCATCAGAGCACTCATATTCTGAAACTTTCCCTTATCCCTTTAATTTCAAGTTTCCTTATTTCTTCCTCTGCTAATTCTGTGTGCTGCTTATAACTATTTAGCATAAATTTTAGAAGGAGAGGGCCCCCTTTATGTCACCATCCTTTGTAGTGCTTTTCATAAACAAAAAGGGATTTGCACTTTGTGCACTTTAAAAATACAATGGGGACTGGCTTGGCTATAGCTTTTAAGAGCCCTTTCCTAGAAAATAATAGGATGTCAGTGTGTCCTGCCTTTACTAGCTTCTGTTTTAAACCTTTGAACTTCCTCTGTCTTAGCAGTCTTTTCTCTTTAGATCCCTAACATTCTTTTTTTTTTTTTTTTGTACACTCTGAAACAACACCTATCTATCTGTATCAGGTTATTTATGTTTTCCATGTACTAGTTTAATGAGTACATTTTCTACTTGAACAGTTCTCATCCACTGGCCAGGGCATTTGACAATTGGCGGGGGTGCGGTGAGTATGTGCTAGTAGGTAGAGGTCAGGTATGCTACTAAACATTCTACAATGCACGCAGCAGACTGCCACAACAAAGAATTACCCAGCTCAAAATTTTGGTGGTGTCATGGTTGAGAAACCCTATAATAAAGGAATCTTATATTTTCATACTATAAAACCCCTTTCCTAGCATCCTGGAATGTATTCCGGTGCTATATTATTTTTATACCTTGTGATAAAAGTTGTTGACAAAGACTTACATGGTCACACTTGAATTACAGTAATGTTTTTTAAGAGATGGAATTTTTCTTGCACCGTGTAGGCTACATGATCGTGCTGAGTCACAATACAGGCATAGCTCAGTTTCTTAGCATGCTAGTGCAATCACATATGGTTACGATGGCATTTCACAGTTAATCTTTATTCCAAAGACTTCTGTTTTGTTGTGATAAATTATATTTCATTTAAATCCTAAACAACACGAATTTCTTACTGTATCTTTCCATTTAGGAAACCTTTAACTATAGAGACGATATGGTAGAATATCCATGGGCAGAATAACCTAGCATTAGGTTGAATTTGAATTATAGCTTCATCCTCTACTTGCAGTGGGGACTTATTTAATATTCTGGACTCTGTGTCTAATTATGAGCCTAATAATATTTGCTTGGTTTTTGTGTGTATATGAGAAATGGAGATAATGATTAATATAAGGGGTCTGCCTAGTAACAAATTTTTAATAAATGGTAATTCTTATTTACTAAAATTGTTCCTTTATTATTATAGGATATCTTCTACATTGAAAATCAAAAGGAATATGAAAATAAAAAAGCTGCTAGGAAGAGGAGAACTCAAGTGTTGGGGAAAAAGATGAAACAAGCTATTAAAAGTCTAAATTTTCAAGAAGAAGATGATACGTCACGAGAAACTTTTGCAAGTGACACAAATGAGGCCCTGGCCTCTCTTGAAGAACCACAGGAAGGACGTGGGGAAACGAAGTTGGATGTGGAGGAAGCCATTGAGGTGGACCATTCTCATGATTTGGACATTTTTTAGTGCATTTTAAGGAACAGACCTTTCTAAAATAACATCATAACAGACCATTTCTACTGAGATTGCTTCATTTTACTTGGCACTGATAAACATGAAAATCTGGAGAGAAAGAACTGTTTCCTTGTTTTCAATAAAATTGACTGTGGAGAGATGAATGTGATTGATATGAACATTTAAAAATCTCTCATGTCTGACAAAGTACTTAGACGTATATAGCAGAAGATTTAATTTCTCAATCTGTTGCATGTGCTAATTATTACTAGTTGATAATCAGTTTTGTCCAGGTATTATGTCATTGAAAAGTTTGATTTCCTGATTTATATATATCTTTGCAGTGAATTATGACTGGTTTTAAAACATTCCATTAAAAGATCCTAATAAGACACATAAATTGTTGAGCTATTATAGATGCATCCAAATTTAGTTTGTCTGTGTTCTGAGAACTCTTAGGCAATTTTAAGGGTAGTGATTAAATCCAAATAGGTTTATACTGATAGTTCTTCCCACTTATTTGCTTGTCTAGAAGTAAATAAACAAGCTTTTTAAAGAGGTATTGATTCGTAACTTTAACTTTGTTTTTGACTTCTTAATTAACTGTCATACACTAAGTACTGAATGTGATCCATACCTCTGTAATTACCATGGACATTTAAATTTTTTCAATGGTGGCCTGCCTAAGACTGTTTTTACCTTATGTTAAGGAAGTTAGAATAACGTCACATCTGCATGAATTTTCAAATTATTCATTTTTATTGAAGGAATAAGCCTTTCTAAAGGTAGGTTATTTAAGATGCTCCAAGAGTTGACTGTAGTTTACAAGATAGATTAAGCAAAAATTGGTAGGAAGCAATTACAAACTATTTTTTACAGGCAATGTACTTGAATTCTTTCAGTAATTTCTGAAATACGTGGTCATTGAAGTTGGATTTAAGGATCTAAATGGGAAAAGAAGAGGAAAATGGTTATTGCTTGCTTTTTATCCATAAATGCAAAAATAAAATTAGAGATTTGGCAGTCCTTTATGAGTTTCAAATGGTTTATTCTTTAATCAAATATTCTTTCGTAAGATTACCATATCCAAGGAAAGAAAAATAGGTAGCTGGATACTGTCCCTGAGATAATTGATGAGCTGATTTTAAAGGTAAGTGTATTAGGAAAGATAATCATTCAGAAATCTAAATGCCATACTCATGAAGATAATGCTAATTTTTCTAGTGAAAGTTACAGTTTTCGATTTTGAGGTTTTCGAAGGGCGTTAATGACTAAGAGACTACTTTGTCCTCATTAAAAGGGTTGTTTTCCCCACCTTCCTGGTTCATTTTCATCAACAGTTGTCTCCTTAATATTTGGAAACCACATAGATTTCTGGCTTGTGTTGTATCCTAATATTATATTAGAAACCAACATTTTAATTTTTAAGGTTCCTAAAAGTTTTGTCTATTAAAATCACTCTTCTCTAAACCTTTCTGGATATCCAAATGAAGGGATACATATCCAAACTTGCCAGATATGTTTTCAGTTAATACTCTCAATATTTTGCAGTAGTTCTTCCTGTTTGGCCTAACATTTTTCCTACTTGCTGGCTCGTAAGATTGACAATAATAATCCTCTACCTCTCTGTCCTAGTAATTTAGGTGCTCATCCTCATTGTAACCTTTCTTTATTAAAATGAAATTTGTAATCTGATATACTCTGCAATAGAACTCAAATGTTAGGGGATAAATGGGTTGGATTGGTTCGGGTTTAAACAAATTCGATTTACATTCAAAATGTGTAAGTAATTAATAGTTGGTGAAACAAACAGGACACATCAACCCCCCAAAAAATCAGCTAAGGGCAAGAATGAGAATGTTAGAGAATGTTAATGTTATTTGTGAATGATTTAGTCCAATATATTTTCTATGTCAAATATGTAATATGTCTGCAAGCCTCTTCATTTTTTAATTGTAATAAGAAAGACGATTTCCTCAAGAAAGAGTCTAAAAGCCCGCCGCCACCTGGTTTGGTCATTGGGGTACTGGTGGCAGGAGGAGAGGCACATGTGCAGCAGAAGGGGATGTGAAGAGGCTTTGGGGCACATAAGGGCAACTCTCGCTAGCGCCACTGCCACCTTGGTTGCGGGGTCTTCAGTGAGTCACCACCTTGGAACCAGCAGGAAAATCATCAACTACTCCAATTTCCTCAGTCTCAAGAAATGTGGCAGTTACCACCTTGAAACCCATAGCAGCATCTAAAGAGACAACACGGTGGGCCTCAATAAATACTTCTTCCACCACCTTAAAGTCTATGCCCAAAATAACGTGTTTCACAAAACACATCCCAGATGTCAACATCTACAGACGACCGCAACCCACAATAGTTCCATCATCTGTTACTTCATCAGTAACAATCACAGCAACTATAAATTCTAAAGAAAATAAAGTATCAAAATTTGATATTGGCAGCTTTGTTGGTGGTATTGCATTAACACTGGGAATTTTATCTGCTCTTTACAATGGCTGCAAAATGTTTTATTCAAGAGGCATTCAGTATAGAACCATTAATGAACATGATGCCATCATTCAAGGAAATCAGGGACCAATGGAAAGAAGAAAGACTGACAAAACCCTATCAATTAGTTTAAGACATTATCTTCTTGAAACTAGTATAAACCACACCATGCGTATAATGTATGATATATTATGTAAGTATGTAAAGAGTCTTCATGATTACTAAAGGTAAAAAGGGTTCGTTTTGGGTTTTTAATGAACATTTGGAGCATACAGTTAATGCAATGGTTGTATTCATTTTTAGAAAATACAGAGTAAGGCAAATCCAGTCCCATTTTCTTGTATTGGTCACATAGGGCCAGTAACTGGAAGACATCACTGAAGGGCATACAAATAAGGAGTTTGTCACAGCACTCAAGATGTTGATTGTCCTTGTTGCTCACAAAAAGAACTTCGGAGCTACTTAGAACTGGCTATATCCTAATTCCTAATGCCACACAAATTTAATGAGTAAACCAGGTCTTAATTTTAAGCATAATTTTAGTTAAAGTGTCTCTTCAGAAAGCAGCAATATTTTATATGTTTTAAAGCTATACTGTTGAACTGTACACTTGAAACTTACTAGATTTCATTAACCAGTGTTACCATAATAAAAAATTAAAATCGGGAAAAAAAATAAAAATAAAAAATAAAGCTTAGTGTCTAGTTTAGAAACAAAATTGCACACACACCTTACCCACCCCCTCCAACCCCCCCCAAAAAAAGATCAAATAAAAGCACAAACAATACCTGGGTTTAGCCTTGTTAGCCCATGAAGAGCATGTATTTTTATTAATAATTTATTAATAGCAATAAATTCTTTTGAGCTTTCAATGGCAGTTGATATAATTATCTTTTTTCCCCTGGGTAATTTCAGCAAATTCCAATGTTTAACATGACAACGTTTTAAAGACTTAGTCGATAGCATTAAATAAGAAGTAGGGAAAAAATAAGAAGTTAGATTATTTGCTACTGTGAGAATATCATCACCACTGGAAATTGCTTTATTTCATATTCAGCTAATCTGAGTATGAAATAAATTAATTTATATTAAGACATAAATTAATTATATGTTTAGTGAATACTTTTAAGAGATGTAGAGCGGCTTTCAATATCTAGAAATGTTTACTGTCATGTAAACACACCTACCTTAAAAAAAAACCTTATATGATTTCCAAAACAAAACATTCAGAACACTGTATAGAACCATAGATTAATACTGTTTCTCAAGCAGAGATGTTATGCTGCTCTTCTCAAGGTACAAAATCTACAGGATGAAAATGCTGCCTTTTCCCCACACTGTTGATTTTACTCAAAATTTTGGGGAAACGGCATTTTTATACTAAAACCGATCTATTTTGGAATAAATTCTTACTATGTTTTAAAACAGGAATCTTTAAGACCGGTAACTTTCTGCTTCCTACTTGGATATTCTTCAGACCAATCCTCTTCCTCCCTTGCTGATGATGAGTCAGTTTCATATGTCATGTTAACGAAAAGAAAATGCACAGTATTCTAGGGTCACAAGCATCAGCCATCATAATTCAGGGGGTTTTCAGTTTCACAGTTTATATTCCAGCGCTCAAAACTCAAGGTCAAGTTTTGACAAAAGAGTTATTTAGTCAGACTAGATACTAAGATGGTATTTCTTAGATTGGTCAAGGTAAATCACACCAATTACTAATAGTATAAAAATAATCTAAGATGTCCAAATGAACATATATTTATATTTAACAGGAATTAAATGTACCTTTTGTGATCAGCATTTGGTTTACGGAGAATATCATCTATCAAGAATTTTAATATAGAGGATCATTTCTATTCGCTGTGCGTTATGGCCAATTGATGTGATGGATATGGATGATAAAAATTATCTAAAATATGGATGTGACAGGATTATGTGACATATGCGGTGTGGAAGAAATATGAAACACATGTGTTTACATTAGTTTGAAAAAAGATGTGGGCTGATAGGTAAGTTGTATGTTTCTAACTTAGCCTCAGCTGGCTTTTCAACTATTGCTTTTGTATCTTTGCAAAATATACTTAAAATACATTTTACAGTAACAGGGCCTTTTAAATTTAAGTTGTTTTGTTCCCTGCATTCTTGATGCTTCTGTACTTCAAATCGTACTTAATGTCATTATATGCCTTTAAAGTTTCCTGTGCTTTGGGTTTGAAATAACTTAGTTGTCTTTGCTCTGCTTCTAAGTTGTATAATTTATTACTTTCAAATACCAGTATTTCGATAGTCAATTTTTTATTTTTAATGTGCAAAATTGAAGGTAACAGTGATACAAACCAATATTTTGCTTTGGAGCACATTTCCTAAGCATAAATTTATCTTCCTAATTATGTTTACTTAAGCAAATGTTCAATTTTGTTTGCATTCCTTGAGAATGTATTTACTGAAGATAAAAGCAATCTGGATGTATATCTAAATATGAGGCAGAATCTAATCAATGATTTAAAAATGTCCTTGAATAATCCATAAAATGAATAATTCAAATACAGAAATATTCCACTTACTTTTTTCATTTTATTATAATGACTAGCTTTGGGTGTTTCATTGTTACCGAGATCTAATTTTAGAATAAAACTTTGTTCTCCAAGAAAACAAACAAGAAAGAGTAAATAAACACTGAAAATAGTTCTTAGATCTCTACTTTTAATTAACTGCTAACGGGTTGCTATGAAGTTAGCAAACATCATCACATCTGAGACAGTAACGTCATCATAATTAGACTAGTGAGTTAGCAAAGTTCTAAATGGGAATTCCCGTCACTACTGGCAGCGATGGCATCAGGAAAGGACACTTGTCCTATCTCACCTAAACTGGCCAGCAACTCTTCTGATGAGAATTCAGATAAGCCTGCTAATAAGTGAGAACTTAAGGGTTTCGAGTTTGTTTTCTTGTTTCGTTTTGTTTGTTTTTTCGCAATCTGGGAACTACACAGATGAGGACAATAATTTTGTGCTTCCCCTTGGCATCTTTATAGAAAGCTTTATGTTCCAGAGGGAAACAATGAGTGTGCAGGGAAAGCAAGCCTGACCTGCGTGTAGAGCATGTTCTAAATTCAGAAGCTAAATTAGTTACTGTTTTTTTCTGAATGGCCAGAGATTCTTGGAGGCAATGGGTAGGCCTGAGGCAAATCATGGTGCTCTGTCTTCTCCCTTAAAATCAGGTTAAAATGAATGTGGTGAGCAAGTTGTAAAGGACAGCAGGCAGTTGGAGGTACAGAGAGCCCGACATGACTTCTGACCTTGGTGATACCTAGGGGTTTAATGGGTCGATCATGTATTAGGCGAGCCTCACACAATGGCACAGCTCTCTGTCCCGCAGCTGTGGGGGTCCAAACATCATGGAAAGTGCACAACTGCCTTCATTCCCTAGAGTGATGCTAAAATGATTGTATTTAACTCACAACCTATCCTTTCTTCTTGCTTTCCTAATCTTTAGGAATAATGAGGTTCATTTGCCACGGTTTTCATTAAAGCAAGAGATGGTCCCAAGACGTTATGTTATGCCTTGGAAAGAAAGCATGAAATTCAGAAACATTAATCTGAAGGTATTTTCCTATAAATATTCATAATAGAAAACCTATGCTATTTAATATATCTATGAATAGACACACATAATTATACAAAAGCTATTTTAACATTGATTTTGTATTTTTTCTAACTTTATTGAGGAATAATAGACAAATATAATTATATATATTCAAAGTGTACAATGAGAGGATTTGATATACATTGTGGAATGATTACCAAGATCATGACAGTTAACACATTTATCACCTCACACAGCTTTAACTCTTTTTTTTTCTTTTGGTGAGAATGCTTAAGCTCCACTGTCAGCAACTTTCAAATACACAGCGCCAAATCATTAACTGTGATCACCACGCTGCACATCAGATCTTCAAAACTCGCTCTTCTTATGACTAAAAGTGTGTGCCCTTGTACCTATGTCTCCTCATTTCTCCCTCCTTCTAGATCCTGGCAAATACCATTCTATTCTCTGACAAAAACTATTGGGCACATTTTCACACAAACTTGCAAGCAAAAGTGAAATAGCCATATCTAGTCAAATAACCCAATTACAAACTTAAAAGTAGAGACATGGAACAAATTCAGAACTCTATGTCTACCTTTTTCTCCACTGAATGCCACTTGCATTTAAGAAGCTCATCAGAAGTAGGGACCATTAATATTAAAGCTACAGACAGAACATGTATTTTTCAAGTTGTATGGCATGTTCGGGTTTGAGAGCTATGAGAACAGGTTGGCTAGATTTACAGATAAGACTCACTTTCCATTCAATACTCCTATACAGTCGGTGGTTTCAAAACATCTTCCAAGTTCAGACTGGCCATTCACTTGTGAAAAGGTAGGTTTTTTTCTTGAAAGTAGAGCAGAATATATCATAATGATCAGACTACAGGAGGAGATTTCAAGTTAGCATTCCTAGAAAGAAAGGTGTGTAACTAATTTGAAAATTGCTAATAGTCAAGCAATTAATGTTGAATAAGAATATACTTTGCCAAGACAGAGATGACATTACAAAATATTAATATTATATAATATAAAAAAATTATTAATTTCAGAAGCTAAGCAGGGTCAAGCTTGGTTAGTACTTGGATGGGAGGCCACCTAGGAAGACCAGGTGCTGTAGGTGTAAAAAATTAAAAAACTAAGGGATCGTAAGCTGACAAGTTTCTTGCAATCTGTGAGGTCAACCAAGGGTTGCCTCGCCTAAATAAAAAAATAATAAAAAAAAATCATTAAAATATGGCTCAATTATTTTCTTATAAAATGCATACATACGATGTAATAAATGGAGCTGCATTTGCCGTGAGATGATTATTTTATATGTATTTTTATATGACATTTTGATAACAAAGGTAAAACTGAGGATATCAAGACTCAAATATAGACTTAAACATCAAATTTATATGACTATTAAGTCTTTCTACAATCTCAATATAGGGCTGTATTTCATGTAATTTAGTCGAGTATCAAGTCATTGTCAATGTCCTAAGTAGCTTTAGCATGGTGACAATATTAGTACTGATTTTATTTTTTTCATTTACTAGAACTCCAGCGTGTAATTTTATTCTTGAACTTACTCTTAAGAGCAAAATGAAGCATACTATTACATAGCTATTTCACTTTTACGATTTTGTTGACAGTGCTCTTAACAATTTTTTAAATGTAATTAGTGACTGGTATATAGAACATTCTACCTTATAAAGTAAAAATGAAATAAGACTTAAATGAAGTGAATGTACACTGAGTAAATGCTGCCTAGGCTCTCCTTCCTTCTACTTACTTTCACTATTTTTTTTTCCTGTAGGAGATGATATAACTATTTAACAACATAAAAATGAGAACACAGCATAGCAGAGGTGGGGCTGCATCCCAAGACCAGGCCAGAATGTCGTTTAGCTGTATTGAAGAATCAGAAGTAGATGTATACTTATGACAAAATTTCATGTAGCTGTTATTAATCCAGCCACAGCTGCAGTAGCAGCCCATACTTTATATCCATTTGATACTTAGTAGCTGGCAAAAGTTTTTTCACTCACATATAATATTCTATTCAAAAGTCATAAGAATCCTTTAACAATTTCTATTTTATATTTGAGAAAATTGAGTCTCACAGAGGTAATACAAGGTCCCATAAGTAGTGAAGTTGAAGTTCAACAATCTGACTCCAAGTGTATCTTTCCAGTCTGCAGTGCACACCACTCTTCCTGGTGGTTGGAAGACACCGGTGAGAGAGACTATTGCTCTTTAAAAAGGGATGTTGCTCTGTCCACTAGACCTTCCTTCTGGACAGGGACAGTTAGAAACACTATTGGACAACTTTCGCCTTTATCTAATAAAGTGATGTTTGGGGTCATATACAGCAGATTTTTTTTTATTTCTCTTAGCATGCAGAAGCGTGTGGGATCTATGCTGGCCCTTTAGAAGACTCTCTGTTTTTGAATCACAGTGAAAGGCTTTGCCATGGGGAAGATCGTAAAGCTGTCTCAAAGAAAGGCCCACCAGAAATAAAAATTGCAGATATGCCTTTGCATTCACCTCTCTCCAAATACCAAAGCACTGTGATTTCGCATGGCTACAGGAGGCGACAGGTGTGATGAAAGAAGAATAAAATGATAAAGTGTTTCAATCTCTCCCTGTCTGTCTCTCTCTCCTCCCCCAGAAATCTGTAAGTCCATTGTACATTTATATTTCACCAACGGGTTCAGTTTAAAGGCTATAAGTCAATTGCATACTTTATACATTATAAATGCTTTAGAAAAGAAATAGGCTCAAAACATCTGAGATGAAGCGGGGAAGCAAGGAAAACGATCTCACTGAAATTCGTTTCATACCGAATAGTTAAAAAACAGCAGACTGATCCAGTCCTACTATCTAACCTCACCCCACTCCTCTATCTTTCTCTCTTCCTCACTCCAGTTTTATTGTTCATCCCCTCCAAAACTCAATGTTGGATCAGCCAACTGAAGTAGAGTTGCAGGATGTGAAATTATTTTTGCTACTTTTGTGACTGCCCCAAAATGCTTCTTTCTGCTCCACCTCACCAATATACACACACAGTCCTAAGGTTCTGGACACGGGTAATTAAACAACATGGTAATTAGAAGTGTTTGGCAGACAGGTCTATGAAACATCATACAATTTTAGCAGAGATGTACCTTCTGTATTGGTTCAGAGTATCCAAGTATCAATTTCCTATAGCAAAGAATCGATTCACATAATTTAACAACATAGAAATGACCATATGTGGAATGGAGTACCACTGTGGATGACCTTCTGGCCGTTTCCGCGATCAAACGTAGAATCACCTTGTGACCCAGCAATTCCACTTCTGGGTATATGCCCCAAAGAACTGAAAGCAGGGCCTGGAACAGATATCTCATACCAGCATATTCACAAAGAGCCAAAAGCTGGAAACAATTCCAAAGTCCATCAACAAATGGATTGATAAACAACCATGGTACATCTATGCAATGAAACGTTCAGCCATTAAATGTAATAAAGTTCTGACACATGCTACAAAGCGGAGGAAGCTTGAAGACATTATGCTAAGTGAATAAGCCAGACACAAAAGTAATTTTCTAGAGAAAGTAGAATAACAGTTACCAAGGCTGCAGGGGAGGGAACAAAGGGGAGTTATTGTATAATGGGTATGGGGTTCCAGTTTGACTCGAAAAAGTTCTGGAGATGGATGGTTGAACAACAAGGTGAATATACTTAATGCCCCTGAATTGTACACTCAAAAAAGGTCAAAATGGTAAATTTTATGTTATGTATATTTTACTATAATTTTTTTTAAAAGCACTATAGTGGGTCTAAGCTATGCTTATACATCTAAGTGTTCATATCTGATAGTACCACCAACAAAACTATTATAAAAAAAAGAAACAGATGTCCACCTAACATCAGCTTAAAGATCAGTAAATAAAGTGTAAATAAAATAAAAACTATATATACAGGATGTTTAAAAATGAGTAAAGAAGGCTAGGTGATACAGGCTAGGTGATACCAAAAAAATTTTAACACTTCATTAAGTGGACGGTCTCCATTCAGTGGACTGCAAAATGGGGTGGAAGGCAAGAAGCTTTTATAGGGTAAAGAATAAGAAACAAGGAAGAAAGTATGTATTGATCCCAGAGTTGGCATGGCGTTTGGGGATTAACTGGATAGGATATACCGAGTTTCCAGTCAAGTGAAGCATTTACAGGGCTAAAAGCTATCTAAATTTTGGTTTGCTGATGTGGCACCCAGGCAGGAATGTCTACATCTTGGGCCTAGAAATTTATTTCAACACTAGTAAGTGTAGACGAAAAGGAGAATGCATACTAAACCTGACAAGCTCAGCATAGGGCTCTGCATGGCAGGCCTTACAAATTCAGAGACTGAAAGTAACCACATAGAATGGTCTGAACATAAAAATTCCTAACTAAAAGCTACGCATAGCTGGTAGTCACATCCTAGGCCTGTAGCTTCTTTGATAAAGGTTCAATCTTTATCTTAAGTGAGCCTGTCTGTTGTCTTCGTGCATCCAAGATAATTTACTTTTGAAATGTCAGAGTAATCTTCCAGACCGCTCAGAGCTCCACCGTAGAATCCCTCATTGTTATCCTGTTGCCTGCATACCATCACCATATACTGTAAATGTTAACTATCCTGTACTCACTAATGTAAAAGAAACTTGTGTCTCTTCCTTTTACTTTTAATCCAATCCCAGATTTCCCTGCTTTGTGTTCTCCCTCCCCCTTACCCCACCACCAATGAATTTCATGTAACCGTCCTTAGGTCTCCTTCGATTCTAATGTCTAAAATAAGCTGCAAAACTGCCATCCTCTGGAGCACTTTCTCACTCAGTTGAAATTTTGCTTCCTGGCAATTGCCACTAGTTTGGCTCAAATAAATTCATGAAAATTCTTTATAGGTTTGGATGTTTCTTAAGTTGACAGAAGTAAAGAATCGAAGTCACTATTATTGTTGAATTGTCTATTTCTCTCTTCACTTCTGTTAGTTTTTGTTTCATGTATTTTGGTGCTCTGGTATTAGATGCATATATGTAATTGTTTTATCTTCCTGGATTAACCCTTTTATCATTTTAAAAGGTCTCCCTTTATCTCTAGTAACACTTTTTGTTTTAAAGTATATTTTGTCTGATATTAATATATCCATCTTTCTTGTGGTTGTCACTTGCATGGTATATCTTATTCCATTTTTTTTATTTTCAATCTATTGTACCTTTAAATCTAAAATATATCTCTTGTAGAGAGCATATCATTGAAACTTGTTTTTTATCCAACCTTATAATCTCTGCCTTTTGAGTGGATTGTTAATCCGTTTATGCTAATGTCATTGTTGACTCAGTTGGATTTATATCTGCCATAATCCCTTCTGACCTTTCTTCAGATTCACTGCTTTTTTCTTCTGCCAGTTTAAATATATTTTTGAGCTCCGGTGAATTTTTCCTTTGTTATTGTACTTTTCAACTCTAGAATTTCCATTTTTAAAAATAATTTCTATTTCTAAATCGATATTCTCTATTTGATACAACATTGTCATCATACTTCTTTAATCATCTTTCCCTTTAGTTCTCTGAACATATTTAAAATGGCTATTTTGAAGGCTTTGTCTGTTAAAACTGAAATTTCTCTGGCTTTTACATGATTTACCCTTAGAAGCCTGGCTATCAGAAAACGTCTTTTTCTTCTTTTAAGAATGTGAAAAAAATGTGTGAGGTGGAACACTAAAAAAAAGTCAGAATTTACCCAGTTTCATGACCAGAAAACAATGTGGATCCAGTGCATCAAGATGTTTACAGTATTATTTGTGGAAGGTGGAGTTGTGAATGATTCTCATTTACATCCCTGTGCCTTTATAAATTATCTACTGCCAACTCATATTCTATCATCGGAAAAGAGGGAACACTTTGTTGCTGTGCTCGCTGCTCCCCGGGTGTGGAATGCGCTCCCCACCCTGTCCTGCTCATCAGAGCTCCGAATCCAGTGCGGATGCCAGCTCTTCCACGAGAACTATTTCGTACCCTGTTCTCTCCTTTACCAGCCAGTTCTCTCCATCTTTTTCCAAGTTGCTTCTCTGCCTAAGACTTCTGCTGCTTGACCAGAAGAGGTCTCTGTTGCATTGCTCAAGACAAAAACAAAAAACAAAAAACAAAAAACAAAAAAAAAACAAAACAACTTTTTTTTTTTTGGTAAAATGTTTCGTTTGCACTTTTTTAAGAAGAGAAGACTTTGTCTTTACCTGTTAGAGATATTGTGATATTACGGAAGTTAGAGGTAAAAATTCTTCAATGCCTCTGTAACTCTCTGTAACTAACAGATTTTCAAATAGAGCATCAGTAAAGAGTTGCTTAAACCTTTCCAACTACCCTCCTTAGTGCCTAGCACTCACCGGGTCACCGAGGAATTTTATCTGATGTGTAAAACTTTGAAAGTGAAAAAGAGAAAACAAGGGGTAACACATTTAAGAAAACATTAAAAACCACCAGTAAAGTGCTCCCAAGAGCATGGACTTGGGAGTTAGGCTGGTCTGGGTTCAAACTCTAACTCCACTACTTACTGTGTGCCTCCAAGCATGCTCCATGTACTTTAAGTTTCTCTCTCAGTTTCGCATTTGGAAAATAGGGCAACTGATAGCTAATTCGTAAAGTCGTTGTGAATAGTCTATTAGATAAGATATAAAGTGCTTGGCGTGACACTAAATACAACGTACATATTATTATTAGGCCTGTGGATAGGCATGGATTGGGTTGCCAGTTAAATTTTAGCCATACTATGGCTTGGCTGCAAAGTAGCTTTTTCTAAGAGGAAGGATACCGTGAATGCAAGATATAGCAATTAGATACAGCAATTCCCCGCAAAATGGGGAGAGGAAACTTTCTCATCTACCATCTTGGCTTCAAATATCACCACTAAGAGAAAACCAAAAATTCACACCTCTATTCCCTTTTACAGGCTAGGCTAGAATTTGTAAACACCCGGCTACATATTTCAAATAATTGTCTCACCAAGAATCTTAGATTCATCAGATAAGCTCCTCATCTTCCCCACTCTTTTCTTCTGTTCAGACTTAGTCTTTTCTTCCGACTTAAATGTTCCTAAAAGTTATCTAATATTGATAAATACCATCAACTAATAATGTTCCCATGTTCTCAGTTCTCTGGGTCTCAGAAATCATGTTAGACTCCTTGTGCTTCCCCTCACCACCCAAAGCCATTCAATCGCCTCTGTATCTTGTAGGTAGATGGCAGTACCTTTAATAGCTAACCCCTCTCATTCTCTGTGAGGAGCAGCTCTCCTTGCATCCAAGTTTCTTACAAAAGCCTCCTAATTTGTCCCTTGCCCCTTCGCTCACCCTTCGCAGAACTACATGGGGACAGCTCAGTCAATCTTGCATACCAGTACTAGAGTAATCTTGCTAAATCTCCTGTGATCCCTTTATCCTCCTGCTCAAAAATTATTCACGAAAAATTCTGGAGATGGATGATGGTGATAGCTACAGAAAAATGTCAATGTACTTAATGCCACTGAACTATACACTTAAAAAGCATTAAAATGGTAAGTTTTATTATTTTTTTAACATACCACACAAACCCATTAATGATCCAAACACCCAGAACATGATGT